ATAATAATAATAATAATAATAATAATAATAATAATAATAATAATAATAGTAATAACCAGTCCTCGAACTGTTGGGGTGACACTGGACTATCAAGCTTCAGATCAGTAATGCTGAACCCAAAATATCTGCTGGTCAATGTTTTTTTTTCTTTTAATCTGTAGCACTCTTACAAAGTGATAATGAATTTTGAAAAGCCGTTAGAGTCCTTGACTTCATCTTCAGGGCAAGTGAAAGATGTCACCAAGAAAAACGTAAGACAATCAATGGGGAAGACATTCTTTTTGCCATGCAGACGTTAGGGTTTGACACCTATGTAGAACCTTTGAAACTCTACTTGCAAAAGTACAGAGAGGTAAGTGAGAGTGAGCTTTACTATGAAAAGAAGCTACCTGTACAATGAACTTTTTGTTTATAAGGAATTGGTCAACTTGTCAGTCAGTTTTTTGATGAACTCAAGTAAGGCTGATAGTTGTTTTACAAACTTGACATTGTAACAAGATTCAATTTGGAAATACAGTTGATTATAGAAATCAGCAAAAATACAGAACAGCATTTCAGTATCAACTTGGCACCATAATCTAGTGAAAAATGCAACGGAAAGAATAATTTATGCTGAATTGACACCAACCAGTTATTTTTATTGTTAGTCTCAATTAATTTATTTTATTTCACACATTTACTTTTAGGATAAATAACCTTTTCCATTGCATTCTTCACTTGGTGACATTAACAAGTTGTTCCATATTTTCGCTGGCATTGTAAATGATTTAAATCAGCACTAGACGCAACTTTGACCAGGACAAATTAAACACAAACTTTGAAATGCTGTTTGTAAAATTCAGTAAAAATGAACTTCTGTGAGAGGGAATTGCAATTATCAATAGAATTCATTAGCTTTAGTTTTGACCTGTTAGTGTATAAAAGGCAAAGAAGATAATTTTATTTTAATTAGTGTAATTGCTATCGCATACATGGATGTGGTACTTTGTAAATCATATCAAATGGTTGAAAGTCATTGTGTATAATGTGAGTAGGCTTGACTGAGTAGCAGTATAGTCATAACAAATTGCTATTCTTGTTCACAGTCAATCAAAGGAGAAAAATCAGCTCTTGTGTCGGAAGGAAGAGAAGGCGAGATGGAAGAAGATGAACATACTGTCCATCAGTTCCAAGTTGCAGCTGGTAAATGGCTCTTATTATGTTAAAGTACAGTGGAATCCTGATTTCTCGAAATCTCATATTTTCGAACCTCCTGATAACTCGAACCAAAAGTTGTTCCCTCTCCTCAGTCCAACACTGTAATTTTACCCTGATTTCTCAAACTGTGCGATTATTCAAACCAATTTTCATTTCCCTTGGAGGTTCAAAAAATCAGGATTTCACTATACATGTATATGTAATTATGCATTTTAAACCAAGACTTACATGTACATGTTCCTACAGTTGTGATTATTTACAATATTTGCTCAGACATCTGTAGAGTGTAAACTGAAATCAAAATTCTATGGTCGTGACCCGTAACACCTTTTACAGCTGAGTATGTTTGATGGGTTGTTGATGTTACAGGTGAAATAATTATTACCTTTTGTTGATCATCCAGTTCACCCTAAGTAACAAGTTTGTTATGGGTGTGAAGATGAAGGCTACAGGTGAATCAAAATTTTATGATAGCCCTGTAACTACAGTCAGCTACTAAGAATTAATGGCCATTACTCCCCAGCAATAATGGGGAGCAGGGATGGTGCAGTGGTGAGAGCGCTCACCCTCCACCAGTGTGGCCCAGGTTTGATTCTGGCCCAGTGCCATACATGTATGTGGGTTGAGTTTGTTGTTGGTTCTTGCCTTGCTCAGAGGGTTTTTCTCTGGGTTCTCTGGTTTTCCTCCCTTCACAAAAACCAACATCTCCAAATTCCATTTTGACCAGGATATACATGCAGGACTTGTATGAAAACCAGCTAAGGCTGATGTTGCCTCCGCTCTAAATATTGTAATTTATTTATTTAGTTTTAGTTACAACATTTTTGTGATTCTTTCCACAGCTGCCCACCTTCACCCTTCAATGATCGCTACAGATCAAACTCCAACAACTATATACAGCACTGCTCCATATCAAACGACGGTAAGCTCAACATATTTAACCCTGTGACAGACCGTCATGTTTAGTGTCAAGTCTGAGAACCTGGTGGTTTTGCATGTTGTTAATATTTTAGTTGATGATTTACCTTAATTCTTGGTACCAGTCACCTTGACAGTGTTTTGGTTTTGAAATGTAAGTAGAGGTTAAAGGTAAAGTCTGCATGCGAGCCAAGTGGCCCATCAGGCCGGAGCTTATCCCGGTTTCTGTAGCATGAAGCGACTAGGAGTATTTCTACTCCCCCCTGGATGGGATGCTAGTCCATCGCAGGGTTACCCCCAGCATTAAGTTTGCCGGTACCCATTTATACACCTGAGAGGGGCACTGTGAGAGTAAAGTGTGTTGCCCAAGAACACAACACAATGTCCCCGGCCAGGGCTTGAACCTGGACCGCTCAATCCAGAGACAAGCGCACTAACCATGAGGCCACCGCGCCTCTCACCTAAAAAATGTAAGTAGAACCAAGTACTTAATCACTTGATGTTGCTTGGTGCTCATCCAGTCATACTGGAGGGGAAGCAGATGTGGCAAATATTTGCTGAAGAATTCAAATTTTGGATTCGTATAATATTATGCAACTGAGGGTGAGATTGAGTTGTAACCTGTGCTCTCATAACAATCATGCTGGCATGGCACTGAGAATTTATCAGGTTTCTCAGAAGCAGATTGCTGCCATTAGCTGGAACTTCTTGTTCATCTGACTGTGCGTGTGTCTACACTGTGCACACTGTACTGTTATGTACTTGCCCAGGTCACAGCGAGTGGCTCCAGATGTTGAATTATCTGGACCATTAATGTATGTACTGTAGTTCAATTGTATGATGAATTTCTCCCAGCTAGTGTGCTAGCAAAATGCATGCACTAGTAAGAAGAATTTGTTGTTTGATAGAGCTGATGCTAAGTTCATGTTCTTTTTTCAACAGATGCAGCAACCTTTGCACTTCCAATAGAGTGAGCACCATTTAACAGATCATTTTACAAAATGGATATAATATGTATATGTACATAATTTATCTCTCAGAGCTGCTAGATCATGCCTCTCCTGCTGGTAGTCTGTTCTTTAGATTACACTTGTATACCTGTAGTATAGTTGCTGATTTTTGGCCGAGTAGAGACTGAATACAAGTGGAGTGAAGTATGACCTGTTTTCAGTTTATCCTCGACCAAAGATACAAGTCTGTTGTTTCAATAGACCATTTCCCAGTTGCCTTTTGACCCTGGGTCAAAACGAGTCTTCATGCAAAACCATTCATGTGAAAATGTGTTCCCCTTTACAGGTTCGTTTTCATACAAATCAAACTCATTTTCATTTGAAAGGTTTTGCACGAGGTCTTGTTTTGAAACAGAGGCACAAGGTAGCTTGGAAGTGACATATTTGAACATCCAGAAGATGTCCTAAGAGAATCTCAGAGATTTTACCAGAGCTGCGCTCTTTTGTAGAAGCCAAGTAGAACTGTGTTCATACTTGTGGTGGTGTGCAGAGCTTTTCAGATGTATAGTGTTCCAGTAGTGGGTTCACCAAAGGTGCTGTTGTATTGGGCAATCGTTAGTGTAACAGTCTGGCTTCATAAACGTACATGTAACTTGCGTAGGGGTACAATTATGGAAGATGGTGTTTTGTGGAAAATATTGTTGACTCGTGTTGCCTGAGAAAATTGCCTATTGTAAAGATTGGCACTCCCTGGGAGACATGTTGAAGGATATGAAGCGGAGAGAAGCCGCTTTGTGTGTTCGCCTGTACACACAAAGCCCCTTTGTGTGTATGTGTGTAGTTTATGGCTGTGCTGTACCTGGGACAGTTTGCAAGAACAGTACACACCTTCAAACATGGAAAATTAGGTCATTTTGTCCCTTCTTCATGACCCATGAATTCAAACCCGCCAAATTTTATGGGTTAAATTTTGCCCCCACAACAGAACTCTTTTACAAAACCAAGCATGTCACACGAGGAAAACTGTTGCTGTAGCATGTCCTCTCTATGTCCCCACAACATGTACCCAAGTGTATGCTGACCTTGTTGTACTGGGAAGCATTTTTTTTATTGCAGTAAGCATTGTACAAGCATTAATACATGTGTAGCTTATCTTGTAATTTCATCGCAATTGAGTTACACTGCATTAAAGATAGCCCAGTGTAACAGCTCCTGTATACATATTAATGTAAATAATTAGGTACTGTATTTAGAGAAATTCAATAGAGTAAACAGGAATGTATTTATCTTGGATGGTTATAATTTCCTTTTAACTGCTTCATAACTTTTGGCAGTGTGTGGACATAGGGGATAAACTACAGAAATAGTATACACAGGAAGATTTCAAGTCTATTTAGAAATAAAACTTGGAAAGTAAACTCTCGTTTGACTTCATTCTCTGTATTGTTTCAATTCAAATCCCTGGTGTTGGATTTCTGGTGAACAGTATCGTTCTTCATTCTTTGCTGCAATATGCCATTTCCGAGTTGCCCTCTGTGTCAGAAGTCTTCAAAACGGCTCTTCGTGCGAAACCGTTCATGTGAAAATGTGCTTCGACTGCCCGTTCATTTTCTAGTAAATCACACTTCATATTTTTCTTAAGAAACGATTTGCCCGAGGACTGGTTTTGGCACGGAGGCAAGAGGTCATGCTTCAAGACTGGAATTAAATCTCGGATAAGCCTAATTGGAAAAGGAAAATTTTTGTGAGACTACATGTACAAGAATGAACTGTACACTGCAACTTAAGACTGTGGCGTCGAGAAGACTGGTGCGCGAGAAGCCTGGTTTCAGAGTCCATTTTTAAGCGCTTTCGGAGGAAAACTAGGCTCGATTTCCAGCCGTTTTGGGAGTGCAGTTGTTTATCCTCCTCCCTGTGGGACAAGGAACGCGGGCTCACAAAACGGCTGGAAATCGAGCCTTGAGGAAAACTGGCTCCGATATATGTACCTTCATGAGGTGCTACAGTTAATGTAACGAGTTCTTTAGATCGTTCCTAAAATAGACCAATTTCGATATATTAAAATTCAGCTTAAAACAATAGACCTCAGCACGAGGCTCTGGGGAATAACTACAGAGTTTGTGGGGTTTATTCCCCGGAGCCTCGTGTTGAGGTCTCTTGTTTTAGGCTGAATTTTAATATATCGAAATTGGTCTATTCTGACAAGATCTATCGCAAAGTTATCGAGCTTTTCGGTTTTGACCTAACTGTCCCCTCCCCCTAAATGAAGAACGGGGTTGGGGTGGGGTGAGGATTTGAAACCCTGGCCCTAATAAGAACAATAAATCCTAGAATTCTTTTAAAACTTGTCTACCTCCCGCCCCGTGTAAGGCAACACCCCTATTTAGAAGGAAGGATCTCGTGGAAGGATAATCAGACACTTTGTTCAGCGGTCCTTCCCCTTATACGGGCATATCCGTCCCAGTCTCCGCCGGAGGCACCCTTGATTTGATTGCTCGATTTGGAATTCGAAAATACGCGAAGGTCAAGAAACAAAACAAATAGCAAATATAGTTGTTTGTTTATTTTTTGTAAATAAATAGACAGATTTTTCACTTGTCCTTTTAAGGGTATAAACGATTCCATTGCGTAGATCGGGGAAATATGAATCCATGATTCACTTTTGAGTAAGAGAGAGACAACAGATCGTCACTTCCTCGATCCTCCTCAGGTGACCTTGCTGTTTGACAACTGAAGCTGATTCAGATGTCCTCCGGAGAAAAGTTGGTTATCTCATCTCGCTTTCTGCTAAGTTCTGCGCTACATTTCCCTTGATTATCTAGGAAGATAAAAAAAAATCTCAAGATAGTTTCTATTAAAGGTGCAGAATATCAAAACTCAAAACCACAGCAACAAACCAACGAGAAGCAGCGGATCTTTTAAGACGTGGATCTACAAATGTTGAAATGATAAAATGATAATTTGATTTCTATCTCAATTCATCTCCTCTCCCTGCCCCAAGGATCAGTTTTTCGATTTTATTCATTGCAAAATTTTACTTTCCTGTTGGCTAGCTCAAATGATATGAATAATCCACACATCCCCTCCCCCTCCCCCACCCCTCTTCTTTCAGCATAAATGATTTACGTACATACATCATAACATCAAAGCATAGTAAGTAGAGGAGATTACTACTAACTATGATCAAAGGCTTAAGCCATGATGACGACGACAACGAGAACGTTACCAAACAAAACGTTTTATGAGCAAAGCAATAGCTGTGCACGTGCGTTATAAATCTTTGTACATTTCTTTGCCGTCCTCTGCAAAAGAACCAACCTGAAATGATTAAGTTCTGCGTCAGGTCTAAGGAACAGGAACGACGACGGCTAATTTTTCGTATTTCCACTTGGTATTGAACGCTGTCACTGCATATTTAGCCTGAGTATGTTTTTAGAGCCATTGGCCTACTGAACAGGTCTAGACAATTGCGAAATTCGAAGGTAACAAATTAACTCATTTTTGACCAGGCGCCGTTCTCGGCGTCGTCTTCGACGGCGTTGTCATTTAACGTTGTTTTTTCAGAGGACGGTAAAGAAATGTACCAAGAATTATAACGCAAGTTCACAGCCATTGTTCTGCTCATTAAACCTTTTGTTTAGCGACGGTGCCGTCGCCGTTGCCGTTGTGGTTTTCTTAAAAACTCCCTAATGGTTGCGAAAAACATTGTCGATAACAATACTGAATTTCCCTTTTATTTGGTTAAGCCGGCAGCTGTGACGTCATTCACCTAATCTCGCGAAAACTGCCACCTCACATATCGCCAGGTATCCTTTACCAACCATACTGACTGACACGTGTCGGCCAGGGATTGGTGGTTTACACTCTGCTGTCCAGACCTCTCCCGCGCCTAGCTGCCTAACTCGGTCGCCGCACATTGGGTTCTGTTTATAATCTGTGAGAATTCCAACGCGAATCTCAAAATTGGACAATGGGCTCGACAGAGTACCTGTAATGGAAGAAATATGAAATACCGTATTGCGTAAGGAGAGATAATAAATGTGTCATCAAGCACTTCAACTGTTAGCTACTGTTGGTAAAAGCGTCTTTCGCCTAATCAGCCGATCCTGGAGAGGGTGTCCGCCGCATTCAAATTTGATCACATTCTAACGGGATGTGTTATTCTGTTCACAACAGCAAAAGTGCCTGGCATCTTAGAGTGTTCTCTCCTCCCACACCTGATCTAAATTTCACTAATGTAGCTTTTTCTAAGGCTTATAGTTGTAAGCTAACTCGTCTTGACTCGAAAATGAGCACGGGGACCCTGGTTTTTTGTTTTTTGACTTTTTGGCAAAAATTGATCTTAATCTTACTTCATGGCACGTTCATGGTACGTACTGCCTGTGGGAACATTTTGGGCGCGAACGTCCTTAAGGTCAAGTGTTGACAGTCCAGCTTATAAAACATACCAGATGAGCTGACTGCATACCAGATGAGCTGACTACATACCAGATGAGCTGACTACATTGACATCCGTCACAATGTGCTCGCTCTGCAAATCTACCCTCCACCAAGGGTCAACTTCAAGGGCCGTTATGGAGCAAGAACCCGCATAGGGTACAGTAGTCATGTTCCCATCCACAGCCAGTTCTGGACCCACACCAGCTATGGCCACCTTTTCGTCTTTTAATCCACTCTGGAGTTCATCAACAGACATCAAGCTGGACTGAAGAGCAGTCTTCCCCAAAGCTACATCTAAAGGGGAGAAATTATATTTATAATATCATGGGTGACAATTTACTCCTTAAATTTGGGGCGAAATATTATTTCAGCGTTAATTTATAACTTTACATTTGTCGCGAAATTTATCGATTCAATAAAGGAATAAAAAACCCACGATTGTAAGCGTAATTTGTCAGCCACGATATAAAAGGTAATCAAATAGTATATTCGTGAAATTAAAAAATATTTTCATCAGCTTTTTGTCAAGAAAAAAATCCTCATTTTCTCTTGGTTTTGTCTAATAATTCCCCGAGCCTCAAGGCTCGGAGAAATTATAAGAATTTTGACAAAACGCGTGTGAAATTATTTCCTAATTTCACTCGTCACCATTTTATTTCACATACTGATGATACCTATTAGTCCAAGAATCTTGCTGATGTACGCGAATTTGCGATAAACACGTGGAAGAAGGAACGAAACGCCAGCCGCTAGGTGAGTGGCCACTAGCGGTATTGGCAACTTGTCGCAACAATTGGAGGGGATATCGACACGTAGGCAATCATACTAGTACACGAAAGGTTTCAATTGAAGAAAACTTTACCCCCAAACCCTCCATATTGAGTCTTTACTCCTTCTAATGCAAATGAAAAATTTGTTGACGTAACATAGCCTACCAGGTACAAATTTGTTGCAGATAGAGATGGGCCTTGAATCACCATGTAGAACCCAGTCTTGCTCGCCCTGCACGCTCTCATCATCACACTTCAGCAACCTGGCCTCAATATCACCTAAACCTGTTTTGCCCGCTGAAAAGTTCAAGGAAAAACGTAACGAAATAAAAAAACAAATATCAAAGGTGTACTTAGTCAACAATTACATTTACTTGTAGATAAATAAACTTTTCATCCTATCATCAAGGTTTTGCTTCAGAGGTAAATAAAATATTGTGAAACAGTTACCCGAAGCCGTTACGCATAACCCAGAATCCTTCACGGGCATTATCTTGTTCTTTTTACAAGTGAACCGCTGTTCTTCAGATTTGACGTCACAAGCTTGTTGCTTTAGTAGATCCAGGCCTTGGTCTCTACCCATCGTCACACAAAGACGGGACTGAACATTCTACAGAATGGAAAGAAAATAGAAAAACCAGAATGTAAACGAATGAAGATGAATTTTTTTTCACTAGTATTTCATAATTCTTTATCGTGTGCATTTAAAGAACTCGTAAACATGCGATTGGGAATCATTATGCGATAGAAGACCAGACTGCTAACATCTTGAATCCGCGAACGGGATTTTGAGCGCGATGTTCAACGAGTTTGCTGTTAAATTCTGAAAGGTATATGAAGAGTCTCCTGGCCGAGACTAAGCATCGCGTCACCAAACTTGCCACGAACTATCTTTTCACAAGCATTTGGTAATTCTTTATTGAGAACAGAATAGGGGCCGAAAATCAAAACAAGATGTGAAGGTATGATGATACAAGGTGTTGCATTAGCAGTGAAGATCGCTTGAAATAAACATTTTTCTTCAACGTCTTTCGTTAGGGAAGTTTAGAAATTACTTAATTGCGAATTTCAGTGGTGCTCTAAGTCATCTCCCAATAATCTAAAACGGTAGATTCCTCTTTCTCAGCCAAACGTAAGAAGCGAATGCTGATAGAGTTGTTCAATGAGGTCATACCATTAATGATCCTGTCAGTGTAAATACCCACTGG